AAAAATATGACGAACGGAAGCGGGAAGCGCCACCAACTGGCCTAACCGCGCTATTCAAATTCTTTGTTATGCTCTAAATGTTGTAGAGCTAAGCATGGCAAGCCATACTACATATTATCATCATCTTCGAACGAGACGTTTCATATAATTTCGATCGAATTTCGCCCGCCTTCGGCGGGCTCGTTTGATCGGTCAATTTACATAACAGTAATCTAATGCAAGCGGAATCGGAACTACACATACTCGCTATCAGTTGATTCGGTAGATTCGGATCCTTCGTTTGATCAACCAAGTTTCGGATCTAAACATGATAAGTACAACTGTGTACTTTTAATACATTTTCTGTTTATGCGTGGATATTCAAAAAATTAATTTTCAAAAATTAATTGACAAATTGTAAATTTACAAGTTTTGATTAATTTCGAATTTGATGTGCAACTATCAGGCAATATGATTTTAATTGTAAATTAATTTGAAGAAATTCATATCTAATTGAAAAATTAAATAAATTAAATGAACTATTTAAGCATATTTGAATCAAAATTAAAATCGTATATATTTCATATTGACAACTTACTTTTTCATTTTTATTGTCCAAAATAAATTTCAAGGGATCCCAAGCTAGATCTTTGTCAGCAATATTTCAAGCATTATTGTTTTGCGGCAATTTCAATCCAAAGAGCGAACTTATCTGTTAAAAAAATTATTTAAATGTGCAGAGTTTTACAAGAATAAAAAATCTGAATAATTTCTAATGTGCATATCTATACGTAAATTATTTACCATTTGGGCAAGAAATATGACGCTGTTAACTTGCTGTGCACTTGCTGCGACTTTAGATGAATCAAGTCCGAAAAGTCGAAAGAATGCAGAAACGAGATTTGAAAGGCCAAATGGTTGCTTTGCCTCATTACTCCCGTCTTCTCCTCGTCTCTCTTTATGACCTAGACTCTTATGCCCTAACTAGACCGGAAGATGATCCTACTTGTGGCTCATTCGAGTGCATAGTTTGACAGACCGACCGAATCGATTTAATTGGATGAAAAAAATTATTTGATATGGTTAATACGATTGGAAGTTAACTTTAATATAATTTTAACCTGTCAAACTATGCACTCAGATAAGCCACAAGTAGGATCATCCTCCGGTCTAGTTAAGGCATTAGATACTAGATCGGCAATATCCATAGCTGTTTCCAAATAGTTAGTGGCGTACTGCAATCCTGATTTTATCTTATCTAGAACATCTCATTCATTCCTATGGCGCTACAGCCCGCATTCGGGCCCTGGCCTCCTTCATTTTTTCTCTCCATCTGTCTCTATCCTTAGCTCTCTCCCCCCAATTCCGAAATCCCAGCATATTCCTTGAGTCCTCCGTCACCTCCTCCCGCCATCTTCTCCTGGGTCTTCCAGCCGGTCTCTGCCCTTCCATTCTCGATTCTAATATTCTTCTGGGTATCCTTTGTTCTGGCATTCTAGCTACGTGTTCCGCCCACTGTAGTCTTTGGAGTTTTACAAAATTGGAAAGTGATATATCCTTATATTGTTGATACAATTCTTGATTGTGCCTAAGTCTCCACAACCCATTATCATTTTTGGGGCCGAATATTTTCCGGAGTATTTTTCTTTCAAAAGCGTCAATGTCGTTTGTGATCTTATTTGTTAGGACCCTTGCCTCGCACCCATATGTTATTATTGGTCTCACCATGCTTTTGTATATCCGGATTTTGTTATTTGCGTGGATGTCTCTTGATTTGAAAATGTGTAGGAGAGCAAAATAGGCTTTATTGGCCTGAGCGAGTCTTCTGCAGATTTCTGGTTCTTCTTTGCCAT